GGGAAAGACACCACTCACTTGCTAACCAGCCGGTGTTGGTGTTGCCTAGTGATGGACTGACTATGCTGTTCTCCCAAAGACTTTTATAGAAATCGGGGAAGGAACTAAGGAAGTGAAGCACTGAGTGTCCACCGTCAACTCAATCAGCGTCTGCAAGCATTTTATACATGTGGGATTGCGTATGGGTAGCCATCAAAGCAGACATATTCACTTACCGTATATGCATCTACTAATGCCTTTATTTTCTAGGACACGAATAGACATCTCTGGTCACAATAGCACTGCTAAGGAGGTGCAATGAATCCCGTATTACTGATAAGAAAATTGAGATTCAAAGGATCAAGAAGCCAGGATTCCAGTCCTGACCTGTCTGACCTCACTGGCCGGGCTTTTCTTCTATCCCACCAGCCTCTTGGTGTGTGTGTGTGTGTGTGTGTGTGTGTGTGTGTGTGTACACGTGCATTCTTCTACAGACCTGACTCCCTTCCTCTCCCTTCCTTTCCAATCTAGTTCCTAACGCGCTCCTCCCGTGTGGGCAGCTTCACCGGGATAACTTAGTACAAGCTTTGCACGTGATGTTTCACACTGGGACACCCTCCCTGATCGGACTCGCACTTGGACACCCAGCTCATGACACAGCACCTTCAGTGCACAACACCAGCTCCACTCAACACAGCGAATTCTTCCTTGTTTTCTACCTTGTAAGTATCCCCATCAGAGCACTCTTTTCTCTTCTTTGAATCCATCTTTTTACAGGTATGATTTCTTTGTGTTTGCAGTTCACGGGGACTAGGGCTTCTTTACACTTGTTTACATCTTGCTTAGCGGAGTGTGTGACCCAAATTAGGTCTTGCTGCTATGAGAACTCCGGTCCCAGAAGACTTATAACCGGTCTGCCAATCCCTGCCTGTCATTAGGAATCTATGTGTTCACCAGGTGCCCTCCCCACCGACCGCCCTCATATGCCTTAAGCCATGCACACGTATCTGCTCATCAACACAGAAATGTCTATGAGCTCAGCCCATGAATCCCATTCCAGAGATAAGTAAAGTGAGTCATAGAGAGACCATGGCTGGGCCCTCATGACCCAGTGAGTCAGCCAAATGGCCCAACACGACCCTGGACTTTTGAATGATTACAGCTTAAGCTCAGCTCCCTGATCTTCTAAATCAAATTTAAGGAATGATGCCTCCAAAGTGTTCGTGTTCAGCTTAAAACTTCCCAAGCCCTCTGCTGAATACGCTGAAAGTGTCAGTCAGTTTTAGAAAAGATCGTGACATCGTGAATAATCTTCCACATATCAATACACAGTGCCTGAACACCAGTTACCATCGTTATGCAAATAACTCCGGTACAGTCCTATCAGAAGGGTATAAAGGGAGAGAAGGTACAAAGAGAAAACTTTGATAATAACAACAACAGCAATAACAAATAGTTATTAAATGCCTAGTATGTGTCAGACACTTTTCTGGCACAGGGAGTACGCTGGTGAGTGAAAAAAGTGCCTCTTCTCAGGAGATCTGCACTCCACGTAACATCTTTATACCACCAGCAACCACCAGTGTTTACTGGGGACTTTCTGGGAGCCAGGCACCCTCGTTAGCGCTTTATTCCTGCAGGAGTGGGCACTTTGCAGATTAAACACTGGGCGCAGAGAATTTAAGGAGCCTGTATGGGGACACAAAAGGGACAGCCAGTCTGAATCCAGCGCCCAGGTTGCTAGTTCTTCTCCATAATGTTTCTCCTGTGTGGAGAAAGTCTCCCTGCTCTCAGCACCATTTTCCTTTTTGGAGGGAACTTTTTCTGGATTTTGAAGTAGCTCTTTAACTGTTTTCCCTGACGCCGGTCTGTCCACTCTGATCATACGTCAGCCACAACGGTTTTCCAAAAAGGGTAATGACCACCTTCAGGCACCTTCAAAGCTCTCCAGGACAGAGCAAAGAAAGGCCCGATTCCCAAGCATGGTCCTCAAAGATCGTCCACATTTACACATCCAGACTGCATTCCACATTCCTACCATGGCTCCTTCAAGTAACAGCCTTGGGAGCTGCAGGACCACGTGCTGCCTCCTTTGCTCTCCCAGACTTTTCCTATGCCCAGACCGTTCCCTTCTCCTCTTAGCTTATGCCTGCCCCGTGTTTCTTTCCAAAATCAGATAAACTATCATTTTTTCCATGAATACCACTCCACAGCCTTCAACTCTACCCATCCTATAATCCAATTTATTAACTCCATTCACGGTGAGCCCACCAGCACTTTCCCTATGTCTCCATTACGGTGTTTATTTCCTAATAAGTATTTAGTAATGGTTTATGTGTTTTTCTCCTCCATCAAAATTTGTGAAGTTAAAAGCAGAGACTGTGTAATTCATCTTGTAATCCCCGCAGTGCTGAGTACCGTGCCTGGAATATAACAAGAGCTTAATAAATATTAGTTGAATTGAATTTGTTCTTTCTATTATGAAAGAGTGTATCATCACATCTGGGAAATGGCTGGTATGGTGTGATGTGTGTGAAGAGCATTAGACAGGAAACATGAAATCTGGAATGAGCTGTTTGTTCTGCCCGGAGCTTGTCGTGTGACATTGGGCAAATCCCTCGTCCTCTCTGAGTCCCGTTATCACATCTAAAATAAGAGGGTGGCACTAGATCGTATGAATTCCACTATGTTACACTATAAAATCCTGAAAAATCTTCCTCGTATGCTTCACCTATTCGGTAAATATTTACTGAGCATCTTTTCTAGTCGAGGCACTTTATTAGGCTTTAGGGGTGTGGAAACAGACAGACTCTGGAATCAAGAACCTTACATGCCGTTCTCATATCAACTTTGTGATTCAAGCCAGGTGGCCATATTGACCACACTTTCTTTATCAAAAGAGAAAACTAAAGTTTGGAGATCTGGTGATTATTAGATTCTCTTAATGCTCTTATGTCTGAGGCATAGTCACTGAAGGCATATAAACAATTCTTTATAACTTTCCCCACCGTCGAGAACAAAGTTCTTCAAAGGTATTTCACTTAAGTTTATAGAAACACTCAACTACCATATGGAATTTACCAGGTAATCTAATTTACCTCATTGACCACTTTTGAAAAGTTGTTGTCAAGTCAACATTGTTTCATTTTTTCATGCTGATAAAGATAAAAGAGGCAGTCCTCACAGAGGGAACAAGGAACATTTCCGTTAAAGATACTGAAATGAATTCATGATGTCTAATCTGATTCTCCCATAGAAATATGTTATCATGTAGGTTACATTATTCACCCAAAGAGTGATGGCCAACATTTTATAGGCACGACGATCAACATCATACTTAATTTTGTGCAAATGATAAAACTCTATTCTTTGTAAAGCAGAAAGCTTTAAAATCAGTTTGACCCATTAAATTCAACAAATATTCTAAGCAACTAAATTATGTAAGGAGCTCTGACAGTCTCTGCTGGGAAAAAAAGTGTGAGGAAGGTGTGTTCTTCCACTGCGAGCTCTGTCCTATTATTGACAAGAGGAAAATGACATGAATGTTGGTGCTAAAAGTCATAAAATGATAAGTGCCTTAAAGAAGGAAGAACATGAATTAACATTTATCGATCATTTTCTGTGTTCCAGGTTTTATCATCCATAAGTATTATTGCCCTTGAGAAGAGAGTTGTACTGCTAGAGTCATACAGAGTAAACTTTTTAAAAATGAAGGAATAAAGTTCTGTTAGTCTGAGAGCAAATCTCCCACAAGCCGGATAACTACAAATCATGTTCTTTCCATGTTCTGGAGTTCACATACACACAGAAAAGTTCACTTGGTAAAGAGATCAAAGACGTCTTCTTGTGGGAGAAGATTTTACGCTGAGCTTTATTTGGGATGGGTAGAATTTTGGTGAGTGAATAATGAAGGAGGGATTCCAGCTGGAAGGAAGGACCAGAGCAAAGCAAGGAGACAGGAACTTGTAGGGATGGTCACGTAATAACAAACCTTCCAGACAGTTTAGAGGTGAGGCTGGTCATTGATCTCATGTTTATTCTACGTTGGGTGCTACGGCTATAAAGATGAATAAGAGGGTCAAGGTGGTCCCACCCTCATAAAAGCAGATACTGTAACACAGAAATACACAAGGCACAGTGAGAATAGAGAAGGACATGACTAATGTCAAGTAAGGTGGAAGAGTCTTTGCAGAGAACATAATCTTTACACTGAGTTTTGAAAGATGATAAAGGGTTTGTCAAGACGGAGGAGATGGGGTGAGTTTGATGGGGTGCAGGAGGGAACGATAATCTGGCAGAAGGAACAGCGTGATCAAATTCAGACACATCATCCAGTGGGGATGTCTGGTGTGGTTTGGAATGGTTGGTCCATGCAGAGGAAGAAGGAGGAGGCTTGGGGTGGACCGGCACATGCATGGGGAACCCTGAGCATCAAGCCTGATCCCCTCACCTGTGCCTGAAAACAATTTGGACTTAATATTCCTGTCAAGATGGACAAATTCTTAGAAATGCACAACCTGCCAAGACTGAACCAGGAAGAAATAGAAAATATGAACAGACCAATCACAGGCACTGAGATTGAAACTGTGATTAAAAATCTTCCAACAAACAAAAGCCCAGGACCAGATGGCTTCACAGGCGAATTCTCTCAAACATTTAGAGAAGAGCTAACACCTATCCTTCTCAAACTCTTCCAAAATATAGCAGAGGGAGGAACACTCCCAAACTCATTCTATGAGGCCACCATCACCCTGATACCAAAACCAGACAAAGATGTCACCAAGAAAGAAAACTACAGGCCAATATCACTGATGAACACAGATGCAAAAATCCTCAACAAAATACTAGCAAACAGAATCCAGCAGCACGTTAAAAGGATCATGCACCATGCTTAACTGGGTTTTAACCCAGGAATGCAAGGATTCTTCAATATATGAAAATCAGTCAATGTGATACACCATATTAACAAATTGAAGGAGAAAAACCATATGATCATCTCAATAGATGCAGAGAAAGCTTTCGACAAAATTCAACACCCATTTATGATAAAAACCCTACAGAAAGTAGGCATAGAGGGAACTTGTCTCAACATAATAAAGGCCGTATATGACAAACCCACAGCCAACATCGTCCTCATGGTGAAAAAGTGATACCATTTCCACTAAGATCAGGAACAAGACAAGGTTGCCCACTCTCACCACTCTTATTCAACATAGTTATGGAAGTTTTAGCCACAGCAATCAGAGAAGAAAAGGAAATAAAAGGAATCCAAATAGGAAAAGAAGAAGTAAAGCTGTCACTGTTTGCAGATGACATGATACTATACATAGAGAATCCTAAAGATGCTACCAGAAAACTACTAGAGCTAATCAATGAATTTGGTAAAGTAGCAGGATACAAAATTAATGCACAGAAATCTCTGACATTCCTATACACTAATGATGAAAAATCTGAAACTGAAGTCAAGAAAACACTCCCATTTACCACTGCAACAAAAAGAATAAAATATCTAGGAATAAACCTACCTAAGGAGACAAAAGACCTGTATGCAGAAAATTATAAGACACTGATGAAAGAAATTAAAGATGATACAAATAGATGGAGAGATATACCATGTTCTTGGATTGGAAGAATCAACATTGTGAAAATGACTCTACTACCCAAAGCAATCTACAGATTCAATGCAATCCCTATGAAACTACCACTGGCATTTTTCACAGAACTAGAACAAAAAAATTCATAATTTGTATGGAAACACAAAAGACCCCGAATAGCCAAAGCAATCTTGAGAACGAAAAACAGAGCTGGAGGAATCAGGCTCCCTGGCTTCAGACTATACTACAAAGCTACAGTAATCAAGACAGTATGGTACTGGCACAAAAACAGGAAGATAGATAAATGGAACAGGATAGAGAGCCCAGAGATAAACCCACGCACATATGGTCACCTTATCTTTGATAAAGGAGGCAGGAATATACAGTGGAGAAAGGACAGCCTCTTCAATAAGTGGTGCTGGGAAAACTGGACAGGTACATGTAAAAGTATGAGATTAGATCACTCCCTAACACCATACACAAAAATAAGCTCAAAATGGATTAAAGACCTAAATGTAAGGCCAGAAACTATCAAATTCTTAGAGGAAAACATAGCCAGAACACTCTATGACATAAATCACAGCAAGATCCTTTTTGACCCACCTCCTAGAGAAATGGAAATAAAACCAAAAATAAACAAATGGGACCTAATGAAACTTCAAAGCTTTTGCACAGCAAAGGAAACCATAAACAAGACCAAAGACAACCCTCAGAATGGGAGAAAATATTTGCAAATGAAGCAACTGACAAAGGATTAATCTCTAAAATTTATAAGCAGCTCATGCAGCTCAGTAACAAAAAAAACAAACAGCCGAATCCAAAAATGGGCAGAAGACCTAAATAGACATTTCTCCAAAGAAGATATACAGGTTGCCAACAAACACATGAAAGGATGCTCAACATCATTAATCATTAGAGAAATGCAAATCAAAACTACAATGAGATATCATCTCACACCAATCAGACTGGCCATCATCAAGAAATCTAGAAACAATAAATGCTGGAGAGGGTGTGGAGAAAAGGGAACACTCTTGCACTGCTGGTGTGAATTGGTACAGCCACTATGGAGAACAGTATGGAGGTTCCTTAAAAAACTACAAATAGAACTACCATATGACCCAGCAATCCCACTACTGGGCATATACCCTGAGAAAACCAGAATTCAAAACGAGTCACGTACCAAAATGTTCACTGCAGCTCTATTTACAATAGCCCAGAGATGGAAACAACCTAAGTGCCCATCATCGGATGAATGGATAGAGAAGATGTGGCACATATATACAATGGAATAGTACTCAGCCATAAAAAGAAATGAAATTGAGCTATTTGTAATGAGGTGGATGGACCTAGAGTCTGTCATACAGAGTGAAGTAAGTCGGAAAGAGAGAGACAGGTACCGAATGCTAACACATATATATGGAATTTAAGAAAAAAAAAATGTCATGAAGAACCTAGGGGTAAGACAGGAATAAAGACACAGACCTACTAGAGAATGGACTTGACGATATGGGGAGGGGGAAGGGTAAGCTGTGACGAGGCGAGAGAGTGGCATGGACATATATCCACTACCAAACGTAAGGTAGATAGCTAGTGGGAAGCAGCTGCATAGCACAGGGAGATCAGCTCGGTGCTTTGTGACCAACTGGAGGGGTTGGAAAGGCGGGTGGGAGGGAGGGAGACGCAAGCGGGAAGAGATATGGGAACATATGTATATGTATAACTGATTCACTTTGTTATAAAGCAGAAACTAACACACCATTATAAAGCAATTATACTCCAATAAAGATGTAAAAATAAAATAAAATAAAAATAATATTCCTGGCAAAGAAGGTATTGATACCATGCCTTGTTTCTGATAAGGGATGGTTCAGGTCAGAGCTCTTCTTTGGGAAGATTAATAGAGCAGAGACATGAAGGGGGAGAGATTAAGTGGTTGTCCCGGTAGTTCAAATGAGAAGTAATGAAATAATAAACCAGGATGGAGGTCGCTGAGATGAAAAGGAGAGGTGGGATATTATAAAGTTAGAATCAACAGATCAACAGACCTGAGAGTAGGGGCAAAAGGGAGAGAGGGCTGGTGACAGTCCTCAGGCAATTATAAATGTAGGATTAGACTTCAAGAGAGGAGTCAAGGTTGGAGACAGATTTAGGCATCATCCCCGCAGAGGTGATAATTGGACAGTGAGAGGGGAGAAGAACGCCAAGGAGGAGAGTACAGAAAAGGAAGGAAAAAAAGCCAGGGACCAAACCCTAGAGAATTCCTTTGCTTGGGAGGTAGAGAAAGACAAGGGGGGTGGAGGACAAGTGGCTCCAGAGATAGGGGAAGGACGGGAAGGCCAGTCTCCAGAGGAGCAGTGGATGCCCGGGGAAATGTTGCAGAAGGGAGTAGGAGGGGTTGAGATTCAGCCAATTATTTGATGGTTAATAAGTCAGTGACAAACTTTCAGAGATGAATTGCGAAAGCGTGTTATGAGGAGAAAACAGGAGCATAGAGATGACAGAAAACACTAAGTGCTCGACGTTCTCAATGTGAAAGGAAGGCGAACACCCCACAGAATTAAGCTCACCCCCCTGCCATGGGGAAACATTATTTACACTTGCCTGATTTGCTGTTTGCATCTCTGTGAAATGTTTGCAAACTCAGGATGCCGGGCCTACCAAGCCTTAGAATTAAGTGCGTGTGCCCGTGACTGGCACCATCCCTGACCAGGCAGAGCACTCTGGGGTCAGCATCTGCCTAAAGCTCCCCCCATCCCCTACGCCTGGGGCAGCACATCTGATCCTAAGAGGCAGTCTTTCTCAACAGCAGCAGGGACATTGCACAACAGGAGGGATAAGCCTCAATCAATAATCCGATGAGCAATTTTATAAAGTGGGGAAAACAGCACCGTGTTTTTGTTTTTCCCCCGCAGTGGTTCCAGCTATTAGTTGTCTTCTGAAGTGCAGGAAGGAACATGAGGGCAGCACTCTGGCCGCACAGGAGACCAGCCTCTGCTTTCTGCACCCCCAGCACAGACCAACCATCAGGGATTAATCCGCAGCTCAGGACGCACCTCAGCGCCACCCAGGCCCCCGGGGTGCCCATTTGTACCAGAGAGAGGACATAACCTCCTGCCTGAAGGCACCCACACTTGGTGGCTGCAGACAAGAAGGCTCCATGGGGCATTACGAACTCTGAGGGAGAAGAAACAGCAGCAGATAAAACCCCAAGTAGCCGAAATGCTGTTTTCATGCAAATGGTCCTAAGTAAAGTGAAAAGAGGCTGGCCTGGGAGGAGGGAAAGGAATGAGAAAAGGATGCAAGAGAAAAGCTGCGTTAATTCTAAACGGGAGGTTTTTCAGAGGCATTAGCCGCTCTTGAAGGAAATAAATAGACTTTCTCCCCACGTTTATTAAATTTCTATGATTCTCTTATTTAGGAGTCCTTTATTTTCAATGGAAAGAGGATAAAATTCAGGTATTTCCCAAAGAGAGGATCTCTATTACCTATTTACTGTAAAATGCCCAGAATTATTTCTTCAGGAAATGGAAAGATGAGAAACTTCCCTGAGGGAGAAGTGGGTATGGCAGGCCTGGGGCCTGGGGGGCGGCAGCAAGGCTGTGCCCCTCTCAGCCAAACAGAGGGAGTGGGAGAGGGTTCAAAGACATCAGAGGGTGACATGGGAAGAGCACGGGGTGTGTGGGAAGGAGGCCTGGTTCCAGTGCCACCTAATGGCATGTGTCATCTAACTTTAGTTTCCTCATTTACAGCATTGCATTATAAATAGTTCACCTCCCTTCTGTACTGTGAGAAGAAAATGGAATGAAAACATGAAAATGTGCCAGAAAAAAAAAATGGTTACCATTGTTCTATATAAATATAAGATGCTAATATACTTGAAAGAAGGAAAAAAAAATGTCTCCTGGTAAGGACATTTTTAAAAAATGAAGGGTCTCTGTCCCAGTGCGAAACAGCCACAGCAACTGTCCATCTCCACGTTCTGGATGGAACGCCCTGTCTAAGGGGACCCGGCGCTTCAGCGGGAAGTTGAGTGGCCCAAGGCTGCTGCAGGAGCGAACAGGAGGAGAAGCTGCAGGCCCTCTCCCTGGCTCAGGGGGCCCAGACATCTCAGCTGGGTTCTTTGCCCACCCAACGTGGTAACTCTTAACAGGCAACTGAACCCAGCGAGCTGCCCTATATTCAGGACAAATACATTCTACCTGTATCTGCTGTGTTCTGATTTAAAACCTCAATCTCAACTTCGAAAAGAGTTTTTGAACTGTTTCTTTTTTTCTCCTTGACCTGCTAAAAGTAGTTCAGATGAGTCATAATGGGTTTGGTTTGATGCAGAAGTGACCCGTTGCGTGTTGTGTAAAAATGCTAATCTTCCCCCAACCATTTCCAAATTCTTTAATTCCCCTGACACATTAATTCTAACTCCAACATAAAATGCCCCAATACCCCTGAGAATCCCAGGGAAGAAATTACAGCAATTTCCTACACTGGAATCAAATTCCAAGGTTGGAGAGCATGGGCCATGGCCTGGCATTAACTCAAACGTCCATGTGAAAGATTATGGCGGGCAGCTGTGATTCCATTAAAGGGGGCAATTTCAACTCCATTTCCTTGATAAACAGACACAAGCTCGCCCCTAAATTGGGCTTGATAGATTTGATTAGGGTAGAGTTTTTGGAGGTTGTGGTTTCTGCAGGAGAATTGCTATTTGATGTACAAGGCCAAATTGCACTTGAAATCTCCTTGCTTCCATAGAGGAGGGAGAAGGAAAAGGACCTAACACCTAGCCAATTGCTAGCATCCAAGCAGCAGGGGAGTCAAGCTGTTGTATTCAAAATATCTGTTAGGTATGCAGCCAGTGTGTGCTGTGGAAAGCGTGCCAGGCTCAGGGGAAACCATGATTAAAAGCAGCAAAACCAAATATTATTTAAACAAAGCAAAATGTACCCATCCGATTTCTTTAGCCCACGTGAATCTTTTTCAGGGAGAAGGAAAGACGTGTAACCTCCTTTGGGGACACCTGTGGTCCCATCTTTCAGAATTCCCACTGGGAGCGTAGGGCCTGGGAGGCAGGGAAGCTGAACCTCATCCTTTAAAGCACGTTCTCCCAGCACAAACACAGAATGATGGGCCAACTGACCGTCAGACCTCCTCGCCTGCTTGTTTCATCATGAATAAATGGGAAACAACACTTGTGTAGGTCAGCTCCACCGATAAGGCGATGGGGACTGTAATGACCTCTAAATTCCAAAAGTCGCAAACCCCTTTTGTGGGTAAATCTGTTTGCTTCCTAGGTATAAGCACTCCCAGGAACGCTCGGACACCTTCACGATTGCCCTTTCTGCCTGGCCCAGTGCCAAGGGCACAGGGAATTGAGATTTATTGCAGATCTGGAAGGTGCCAAGATCCACACTTGGAGCTTGACGTGCCCCGCCCCACATTAAAGCCACTCACGGTCTTGGAGGTGGCTACTGTTTCTTCATTTTTAATTAAAGGTAATCAGTTTCATAAGCGTTAAAGAAAAATGCCATGTCCTTGTAAGTGACAAGAGGCAGACTAGGATGTAAACTAGAACTGCCTGAGGCCAAAGTCCTACTCATTCCATCCCACGGGGCTGCCTCAGGTGATGCAGATGGGCTGTAAGAGCTCTGGTGGGAAAGAGGCCACACTGAGTCAGTAGTACAGGACAGGTTCCATCCTTGATGAAAAGCAGCAGAGCTTGAAGGACAGAGTCAGTATGAAGAGCAGATGAAAATGATACATGATTTAGATTACTGGAATTTAGCATTATATGAAGCAGTCATCAAATCAGCCTCCTTTAAAGAGAAAAATTGATTGGTAAGTGGCTGTCTTTTTTTTTTTTTTTTGCTGTACGCGGGCCTCTCACCGCTGTGGCCTCTCCCGCTGCGGAGCAACAGGCTCCGGACGTGCAGGCTCAGCGGCCATGGCTCATGGGCGCAGCTGCTCCGTGGCACGCGGGATTCTCCCGGACCGGGGCACGAACCCACATCCCCTGCATTGGCGGGCGGACTCTCAACCACTGCACCACCAGGGAAGACCAGCAAGTGGCTGTCTTGAGGAGACATGTGGAGATGGTGGAAGAGCCCTTAGGGACACGGGGTGCAATGCATCCTTCTGCTACCTGCCAAAATCCCTGTACTGTCCTTTGGGCATTTAACAGCTGTGGAGATTCATCAAGCATCATCTTCTGGGTATGTCACTAGGTATTAATGAAACCACTCTGGTACCCCAAATCGAAGCTATTTGAGAACCTGGGTCCCACCCACATGAATCTACTGTTTTACAAAAACACTACATTTTTATCCTGGAGCACTGTCTCCTCACACGAATATGTCCAAACTTGATATTTAATAGAATCTACCCCAACCATAATTTTGAAACTTTTCTGTGCTGTTCCCCGTCCTCCTGAACCTTCGACTTTACCGATTCAAACCAAGCCTTCAGAAGGGACTTTCTATATGGATCAAATACGTTCTTAAGAACATCAGAATATACTCTACCCACCCAGGAACGGAGCCAGACTCATAAATGTGCCAACTCTCTATTTACTTCCTCCTCCCTCTCAGAGCTACTCCCCTGTGTCCGCCTCAGAGAAGAAGTCGCTGGCTCTTGTAACTACTGCCTTGATCAGCTGTCACTGCATTCAGAGCTCCAGAACCCGCCTCCCCACTTCTGGCACACAGACAGAAACTGAAACTCCACTGAGCCAGGATGCGTCAGGCTGGACTCCAAAGCTGAAGACAACCCGACTTCCCTTCTGTCTTCAGGAGCCTTTAATCACCACTCCTCCCTTCCAATTAGACTCCTGAATGAATCCTACCCTATGGGTGGCCCACAAGCTACCTAAGGATGTAGAACAAATAAATGCAGTCCTTTTGGTTTGATCTGTACACCTGCAGGGTTTCTTCCTGATGCAAGAGTCAAAGGTACCTGTAAGCCCTGAGCAGACTATTCCAGACTTGGTCCCTGGAGCCCCTCCAGTGTTCTGTGCCAGGTACCACCCCCCAGCCTGACTCTGTGAATTACATGGGATGGTTTGAAGCAGCCTCTCCACTGTCATAGAGGATGCTCCTCGGGACTGGGGTCATACTGGGGTTTGGGAGTGGTGTCTAGAGCATGTAGTCACATTTATCTTTCAAGATGGATATTCTGAATTGATTATAAAGGGTGAGAGGCATTGGCAATTTTGCTTCCTGTTCTTTTTACTGTTTTAGAATTTTAATCAACGATTAATTAAACAAATATTTACACTGGTCTAATTGCAGGGAACGTATTATTGATTAAGATAGACATGAAGTCTGCTCTCATGGAACTTAATGGTCTAGTAGGGGAAAGATCGTTGAACAAGCAGTTAGAAGTTCACTGGCTGTTACCCTCTGCTTCCTGAAAGCACCTGCATAACCCAAAGCAGGTGCAGGTACAGATGGTCCTTTCCCATCTCCATGGAAGGAGACTGCAGTACCCTCAATGGCCCGAGATAATATCTCAGAATCCATAAAGTTGGAAATGATCTGGCTACAGCATATCTGATATTCACACATAAGTAGAAACGGGCAATGACAAAATATTGTTTGATAAATATAGATCAATAGACCTTTAACTGTTGGAGATGAAAGAACATAGGAAGTGTATTGTCTTTCTTTCTAGAAGTTAGGAAACCATAAGGTCAGCACCAACCGTAGTACCTAACATGTAATAAGCACTCATTCGATGTTTTTTAATTGAGTCAATCTAAAGAGTGCTATTTGCTCTAAAGTGATCAGGCTTTGGACCCCTCCTTCTTGCCAACCTTCCTACCACATCCTTGTCCTGGTGGGAGCCAGGCTGTAGGAGACTGGATGCATTGAAGCATCTGGAAGAGCCGCCCTCTGCTCCCTGCACGTAGACACTGATCCTCAGCGGAAGAAGAGAAGGACATGGCATCACGTGTGGGTCCTCTGACATCTCCGTGATAACAATGGCAGCTGGGAAGCGGTGCCCAGGGGAACCTGCAGACTACAGGCTGAACTTCCACACACATCATCAAGGCGAAGATCACGAGAGCCACTTCCTAGCGCATCTCCAGTTAATTTATTTTATCCTGTCTCCCATTATTACTACCCTTTTCTTGTTCGGGTCTTGTATCAATATGCTTGGCTAATTTTTTTCTGCCCAGCTGCCATCCTTGGGCAGAAGAACATCTGGTGTATCCCCAAAAGGCATTAGCCCATTAAGAAAGGCAAATTGATTTTTTTAAAATTTCATAAATCAGCAGTCAAATGAAAAATGTCATTTTAAATTATAAACGCAACCGAGTTGAATACACTGTTGCTACTTGTGCACAACTGGAATCATTTATGACTGCTTAATATCTGTGGGGGGGGCATTGTCATTTTCATTATGTGCTACAAGGTAAGATAATTATTTACTGGGGCTGCCATGGAATTGCCAACAATTACTTAATATCTGTTGGAAATTATACAACAGTTTTTAATTAGTGATACACACTAAAGTGACTGCTATTTTCCAACAAATACAAAAATCCATCCATGAGAAAAGACACCTGGGACTTACATTAGTAATTGTTCTAAAATGCATTATTGATCTACGCACGTTACCATGCGTGTTATTACTTTTCAATCTTTGAGGGATTCTTGCCTACATCAGCAAAAGAACAAAAAAGTAAGTAACAGCACCCAGGGTGGGCCTTCAGCTAGAGGAAAAGACATATATGTGAACAGGCCCCACGCGCCTTCTATGTCCTTAGACTCTCTCCCCGGGATGAACAGATACGTTGCTACAGGCGTACACAGCACTGTTCGTGCACGCATCTCTTCAGTTCAATGATGAATGCCTGGACGGTGGGAATCGGGCCTTTTTCTCAGGCTCCCTGCATCACATCCTCCCTTCTGGGACCACACCTAGAGTAAATGTTCTATAAAGAAGTTTGGATGAAGCTGTGGAACTGAGACAGTCCTTCACAAAATGCCTTTCATTGTTTTGTTGATGTTCTTTTGCTCGCCCTTGGACACCGCAGAGAAAAAAAACAATGTAAAAATGGTCTCACTAGTTTCTAATAAATGGTTTTAAGTCATTTAAATACTTGGTGTAAAGATTACCCAGGAATACCATTACTTACTGAACACATTATTCCGAATCTTTTAAAAAATTTTTTTAAAGCATTTAATTAGAATTACATTATTAGATCCTGCTAAGTATTTTCTTTATTTATTCATTAAACAATGAAGTGTTTTAATAAGAGAAAACAAAAGGAAGAAAGAGATTTTTTCTATTTAATCTTTTGCTAAATATTTCCATGACTTGCTAAGGATCACTTCCAAATACTTGTAAGTGTAATAAATTCAACCCCTCCTACATTAACTTGTTACTGCCTCCCTCTCTAGGAAGAAGGAAGGGAGGGTTTCATCCTCCCCAGAAGGCACTCTCTACCCTGGGCCATGCGTTACAGGGGACCGGCTGTTACTGAGCCTTTGCTCCCTCCCCCGCGGGGGCTCCACCGACCTCCAGCTCCAGCCTCTCACCCCAGTCATTGATGCCAAGGGTGTCCGCATTGCTTATACGCCCTGGGTCTCTCAGCTCCAAGTGCACCCTTTATATTCTGCCTGGTGATGATGCGGCTGGGATCCTGCAGACTAATTTCTTCTGTGCCACCTGGCTTCCTGCTGGCTCTTCAGCAGGGGACAGGAAGGATGGAAGGCAGGAAAGGGGACAGGGACTTGCTCCTTCCTGTTGGTGCCTGTTCCGTCAGCCTCACCCCACTAATGGCCTTTCACCCTGGCAGCAGTACTTAGTCCCAGGAACAGCTGGTCGGTTTCCAGCTTCTTTCTACACTCCCCAGCTCAGCTACTTGTTCCCGTCAGGAGGACGAGCGTGGGCAGTGGCCAAGCGCCCCGCCCCCCGGAGTCTGCTCCCAGCCCCACATAGCCCCTCCTCCGTGCTCCTGAGACCCTCCCTCTCCTCCTAGGGCTGGCCCCAGCTCGCAGGGCCTTTCTATAGATCCCACAAGTGCTGGTTTCTGACAATCCTAACTTCTTCCCCTTGTTCCCCAGCCCCAAATGGACTCCAGTGTTTCCTTTTGTCCTTTCAGTCTTCCAGCACCTTGTTGCCTGATTCCCTCTATTAGATGCTCTCGGGTGAAATAACTAGCGCGGGTTGCATCTTCCTGCCTGGCACTGATGTTACACCTCTACACACAGTGCCCATTCACAGCTCATGACATCCTCTCCATCAGAAACATCTTTCCTCTTCCTCACCTGCAGAATGTCTGATCTGCTGTCGTGGTTCAGCTCAGGCATCACCTGCTCCCAAAATGTTACCCTCCATGCTGGCCTGCACATCTTCTCTACGTCCCAGAGCGCCCTGTACATCTTTGTGACTGTGCACCTTACTCCATCACTTGGGTGTTTCTACGGTCCTTTCTGCCCAGTCAATTGTCCCCAAGACAGTGTTACAGCATGGGTCACTACCTCTCCCATACTTCCGACCACACCCAGCGTCTAGAATAAATATCACAAATTTCTACAGTTCGTCCTGAACTAATGTGCACGAGCCCCCTACTGGCCTAAATGTGAACTGAATTCCTAAGAGGATCCTGGGCCTCCACAGTTGTGGGACCAGGATTCTCACAGGGGAAACACCGGGTGAAAATGGCCTCGCTGTATTATGACAGGACACCGTTTTGCCATCAGAAAGACTCATAGGAAACGAGGATAAAAGTCAGCTTAGTGGTGACTGGGTATGGTATCGTTTCCTCAAGTTATATATTAAGCATTTGATCTTAGAAGAGTAGTCTATTTAAGGACAGTCCTGAAACACCACTAGTCCTTTCTTAAGTGATGCTAAGCAAATAGTTGATAAAAATATCCACTGCTGGGCTTCCCTGGTGGCGCAGTGGTTGAGAGTCCGCCTGCTGATGCAGGGGACACGGGTTCGTGCCCCGGTCCGGGAAGATCCCACATGCCGCGGAGCGGCTGGGCCCATGAGCCATGGCCGCTGAGCCTGCGCGTCCGGAGCCTGTGCTCCGCAACGGGAGAGGCCACAACAGTGAGAGGCCTGCGTACCGCAAAAACAACAACAACAACAACAAAAAATATCCAGTGCTTGTTGCTCACAAGCACCTGGACACTGCACTATCCCATTAAATTCTAACAATGACCCTATGAGGGCCAAATCACTAACCTACTTTGCAAAACTCCTTTTTTGCAAAAAGAAATCATTCACTATCTAATGATGAAGAAAAAAAATGATACTGAAAGGATGGGACTCGGGGGAAGTGAGGGAGACCTCCTTAGGAGCAAAATCTAAGGAAGCAACAAAAAAACTCAGTAATCAACACACATATGTTAATACAATATTTTTAAAAAGTCAAAATGAATATAAAAATCAACGATAAACAAGATATGAAAAATTCAGGCAAAGATCAGGTAAGTGTTGCTGATTTTTTCTTTGTTCTTGGGGTCTGATGTGGCAGCACTGCTTCCGAAACACGCACAAGATCTCAGAGCCAGTGAGATGTGGAGAAGGTGCAAACTCAGTCTCCCCAATGCCAAACCCTTATTCATCTACCGCTGTATGGCCAGGCTGACCATGACATTTATCTGTAGAAGGCACAGCCTACTGTAGCTTTCTGTGCTGAATGGAGTGCGATCCAGGTAGGGGCTTTCAAAGGACATGAATGATTTTCACATGTCGTATGGAACTTGCTTTAAACTCTACTCAATCTATCTCTGGTTTCAGATGCCATGCATTTTAGGGCTAAAAGGTGCAGTTTTGACTTTATATGTACTACTTATTCATTTATTCATTCATTCATACATCCATTTGTTCAACTAATAGCCACTGAGCCCCCATTTTGTATTCAGTCTATTACCATTCTTTATTCAAGTACTTTCGGAGTTCAATGAATTAATCAGAAAAAAAATGAGCAAGGAGAGAAATTCTATCTGCCTGAGGATAACTCCTAAGGAATACAGTAGTAAACTGTGGATGAGAAATAAAGGCAGACTACGTACGTTACAGTATTCATTTGTACCTGAAACTAGAGACCATGGAGACATCAGGGGACTTGTCTGGCTAGTGGCTACTGCAGATGTATTATCTGAGTCCTGAGTATCACTGAGTTAAAGGAGTGCCCTTTTCCTCTGCTGCCTTAGTTTAAAGCAGGTCATGACAAAATGCTCACCCGGGTGCTAAAGACTGGCTTATACACCAAATGCCAGTGTGACTGCCCAGGGGTCCAATGGAGAGATGGAGTTAGCTCCCTGGCCAGTGGTGCAGCAGAGAGCACGGGGTTGCGAGGTGGGAGAGGGGCACCAAGGCGCTCAGCAGGCTGAGGCTGGCATCGCGCTTCACACCCTCCCAAACCCCTTTCCTTTCTGACAACCAGCATCCGCTTGCTTGGAGAGTCCAGTGGTCTGAGGTGATCACACCCAGCACATACCTGTAGATGGGTATCCTGTCTGTCCCACAGTAACAGCTCAGACAAATGGTAAATTCTGAGGCCTTTTAATCTTATCTCACAAATCAATCCCTCCAGCTCTCTAATCATTCTTGTTGCTCTGTGGTGACAACATTTCCATTTGTCTACCTCTCTCTGACACA